TACGCGGTCTTTAAGACCACGCTGCTAAGTCTTATGGGAGATTTCGCTATGATGGCTAGACCTCTTCCTTTATCATTCGACCTTGCGACGGCAACGTCGGAATTTTTACGATTTAGTGAAATTATACAAATCTGTGATAATCTTAGCTAAGGTATATGAATAATTATTAATGGTCGTATTTAGATTTTATGTATTATATCTGGCGGGGAAGCATGATGTTAGGTAAAATCGCTGTTTATTTCACATAATGCTGTTGTGGAGAAGGTCGAATAGTATGCTGCGAACTTCTTAGATTCGGCAGGATTTAAGACCCCAGACTGAATCTGTGTCAGCAAGAAGTGACTGGTTATGCATCAATGCTTTCCCTGTGAAAGTGGAGCACAATGTAGTAAAAAAGCGGCACAAGAAAAAAGGAACAGGCCGATATCGACGTTTTGACCCGTATCTCTGGTTTTCTTTGAGGCAAATTGTTCAGTTCTAATCGTCATCTTGGTTACCCATAGCGGCTGATCTACATTTGTAGAACCGGAGGGCGAACTTTGCGTTCGTGTTTCTATTTTAATAGTTTTCGGGCAACGAAGCTGGTCGGACCTGCCCATTGTTCATGTCCTTTTGTAACCTCTTATCATCAGTAAAATTAGCCGTTATACATCGAACAGTCCTTGACGTATTTTATGATTCCATATTCGTTTGATAGAATCCAAAGTTTGGTCAAGATTTAAGATACAAAAGGCAACGAGCAGTGAACTAGTTTTAGCCACTATTTCGGTTGCTAAAAATGTCCTAGTATCTTCTGGCTAATAAAAATAATCATAGTAGTAGTAATAAAATAGAGAAAGAGTAGTCAGTGTGAGTACTGGCCATGATTTGTTTGTTGCATTAGATCCGCTTATGCTACAGGAAATTTTCACGGCAGGTTTTGTCGAGTCAGCAACGAATGCTTGGCGACGTTATTCTTGACAACGTAAAATGGGACACAGAAAAACTGCCATCTGAACTGTAAAACGAATTGCCACCAGGCAGTAATGAACGTGGACGAATTTTGCAAAGGTTACGCGTAACAACCGAGTTCGAAAAACTCGTTACGCAACAGCATACGCCGAAGAACCAGGACATCTGTTATCGTTGTTGAAATCCGGTTAATGCGTATCTAAAGCTACACATTCCCATGTTGTTCCTCGCCGTATTCTCCAACGGTTGAAAGCAGACGCAACGGGGTTCGTCAAGCTCTGCATGGAATGCAAGGTGCACTGACTGAAGATGTTCAGCCGATTGTTAAAGAAAAGTGGTAGGTAGCTCGTTTTAAAACAGCTGTTTTGCTTTACTGATTGTATCTTCTGTTGTTCTAAATATTCAATTTTTGCTGTTGATAAAGTAATGGTTAATTATGTGTAAAAATATGCCTAAGACAAGTTAATTGTTCCTCTTTGTGGTATATCTATTTTTACTGGCTGTGCTGTTCTAGTTGCAAAGTAGCAGCTTTAGTATCTTGGTCTAATGGTCATGACTGTTCATTGAATAAGTATACCTCATTGCCTCAATCAACGGAGTGATAATGCTGTGTTCTGTACGCTGGTTATTTGGCTTCGGTCTGACTCTTTGCAGCTTATCAGATGGCTTGGGAATTTCTTTTTTGGCTTCATTACTACATATTTGAAGACACCGCAAATGGATCTCACTTTTTGATCAGTATCGATCGTTCATTGTTCTTTTATCTGCGAATAGATTTTGCAGCAGCCCCTTCCGTGAACGAGCGACTTATATCCGTTGGAAGTTTAGAATTTCTTTATTGATATCAGGTGCTGCAATGTCCTGAAGCAATAACTTGCTTACATCGCTCCCTGAACAGCTAGAAACAAGGGGCAGGGCAATGCGATATGAAATCTGGTCTTGGAAGAGTTGTGTTATCTGATAGTCACGAATTCTGATCTACAGGAAATCAGCGTATGGACAGTAAAGTTACATGCCACGTACTACAATGCGCGGATGACAAACCCTTTGACTTCAAATACACGAGCCGCTCTACAAACGAAGAAAAACAAGCATTGCCAACCTCCCTAACGGGAAGATGGCTCATGTGACAGGGGCCGAAACATCGAAATTGTTCAATCGTTTGATGATAAATTGTTTTTTGTTCTTCGGTATTCTGTGATCTTACATCGAGTTTGGATACAAGTTATAGATTGTCTTTATAAGCTATAATATAAGGTATTTGTGATGTAAGTGAAAAGTTACGGTATATGATATATGCTTCCAATGCCGGTCTCCGCTACGTGTTTTGAACCTGTCCGGGTGCAACGCCGTTGAATTGTTTGAGCTATCCAAAGACAAAGACATGAGGAAGAAAGGCAAGGTGAGGTGTTCAAACACTTTCACATGTGAAACACTTTATGTAGGTGAAATGAGTTAAGCAGATGGTTGGACGCTGGTCTCCATTTTCTTGCCAGCAGCTATGTGACAAGCGTAGTGTGTAGCCTCCTATTTCCTTCCTACGGAGTGGTTCTCATTTATCATTCCCGGAGGGCAAAAAGACGAGTTACCGTACCGGTGCTCTACCAACTGAGCAACTCCGGTCTAGTGAGATGGGCAGCACCGTTAAAGAAAAAAAGATATGATGCAAATAAAACCTCACCAGATGAAAATTACGCTGACGACGGAGAAAATGGCTTCCAAGAACTAGGCGGGAAAAGAGACAAACCAGTGATCCCACAATCATCACAGAAGCCATTGGAGCCTTATTACGTGGCATACCAGTAAATAATCAGCACATCAGTCATGAGAAAAAATGATGCATGTTGCAACACATGGCAACGTTTACTTTACCGTACGATCAAAGAAACGTTGCCTCTCCTTGTACCAACTGCATCAGTCATGGTCTTGGACTGTATGTCAGCGATACGTAGACCGACACGAAGAGGTTACTTAAGACTGATGACAAGCACAGCGCTATTTAGTCATATCGGATCGACTCGAGCAGCATGTTTGATTTGTTTTTGCTCTGACGATATATAAAGCATAGTGTAAAATTTCAGTTACACAAATAATATGCCCGAGTGATGTTCCAAACGAAGTTTATTAAATAATTATTTAACCGGTTTCGAAAGTAATATTTATTTCTGGCTATGTTTACATAACCTATTTAAGATGCGTAAGAGAAAAATGTAAATACGAGAACGCCAGTTTATCGAGCTGGCGCTGCTCACTTGTTTCTAAGGTTCGTTTGTACATATACTGAGGTAAGTTTGTTACTTGCAAGAACCGTTAGCAGCTACATACATATGTCTTGACTGCATTTCAGAAACCGCATACATGTTGCATCGTAAATTGACGATTCGCTGGAATTTTAACGATTTGCCATTTAGCCCCAAGAACTATTTTCGACTGCTGATTGACGGTTGTGTGAAAGAAGCAAGAAATATTTTCCGGTTGCATTTCTTTCCGCTGATGCCTTACAGTTCAAAATTCGACCTGAACGTAAAGCTTTCTCAACGCTCCAGTCTGTCCATTAGTTTACGTAAGCATAAAATTGAATCTTTTGCAAGTGAATGTACTGAAGTTTGCGTGTTGACCAGCACCTTTTGATATGTTCATATGAAATTAGCACGTACCATTACAGACCGGTTTAAAATATGTTTCTATGGCTGTATAAATGTGAAGATCAGACTGCGCTGTGCTCAACGTTAAGTCAGCCTTTACAAGAACGAAAGAGTCAGTGGCCAGTGTTGCTTTGGCATGCTTAACGATAGACCTCAGCCCTGTAAGAAACTCAGAATACTCGGTGGATAGTTGTGCGCTTTAACCCTGAAAAACGCGACATTTACCTCTGAACGGACGAAAATTGAACGTCCCAGATTGGAGGGAATACTCAATAACGCTGGAAAAAATGTCATCAAGAAAAGTTCTGGCCGTTGGCATTTTACACTATGATGATAGGGGACGATTTATGGGGCATTTAATTTCATAAAGCTTATGGTGCACCGTTCATCTACGTTTCTTTACCATCATTCAGGAGTGTCTTGCTTTTGTTAATGCAAATTTTGCAGCAAAATAGTGTGTAGTTTCCGATGTTTGCTTGCATGACCATTTGAAGATTACGGTGATGAAGAACAATGACCTTTGAAACAACGACTATTGAAAAAATTGTCTGTGGCCTTCCTTTTATTTCTTCAGACTCTTCCAACGACGTGGTCCCATCGCGGTTCTTTGGTATTTTGGTGTCTGTTGTTCATGGATACGTCACTGCTGCGGATCTTGTATCATTTTTTTAGTCTTTAAACTTTAATACTGGATTCAGACTAGAATTCTGTTTTCTTAATGAGGTATCTCTGGCATCATGGATAACTCGTAACCAAGAGGTTCTGTTCCTTCTTCCGAAATTGACAAATGAATACCCATCTGTGGGAAGGAACCAGGAGACTGTACATTATAATTAAACAGCTATGGAAGGAGGTATTCGTTGCCTGCTTGAGTAGCGGTTAATAATCCTCGATTGTCGATCCATGGTTCAAGCCAGCAATAGGACTATGTAAATTACTTTACTTACCGGTGTTTCCAAGCTACACACACGGTAATCATCAGCACTCTATTGGCAGCGTATTATACATAGGGTTACATGTTATGCTTACTGAATAGCTGTCTGTTTTGCCACCAACTTCATAAGAGTAAGGGTGTCGAAGGTGAGCCTCCCCCCTCCATGAAAGTATCCAAAACGTTTGAAACTTTCACATAAATTAAATGCAGTTGTTAGTTACTGACCCTGTTCATCATTAATGTTCACGCCAATTGCTTTCATTGAGCTGTAGATGGATATGCAAGGATTTGTTTAATTCGTTTCGGCATCTCTGGCACAGAGAGCGGACAAGGATTAAAATGCGGAATCGAACGACAAAGCAAGGAAAGATTAAATATATGCTCCAGAACCGTTGCGGTCATTGCGAATACTTGTGACGAATGCAAACAAAGGCCGACGTGACTGTTGTGCTTGTGCCTTTAAGGCAGATCTGTCTGAAAAAGAGAGTCTTAATACCAAGCCGGAAAGAAGGAATGACTGCCGTGATCGACATAAAGCGGAGAGAAATAGTCTTGGCGTCCTCCGTATCTTCTCAGCGGACGTTGGTATTTTTTTTGCAATAAAGGCGGATCACTTGTACTGTGCTTCATCGATGGTACACGAATAAGGGAAAATAATATTCTTCATGAGTTGAATGGTCGAGAGGAAAAATTTTAATTAACGATAATGCTGAATTTGTATCTCATGCTGTGATACATCATGCTGCTCATCTTGATGAACGCAGAGAGAATATTTTCCATTTCCAACGGATGCCAAAAATTGTCTATTTGAGCTGACTGCAACAAAATATGAAGGATTAATTTACGAATACAGCTAGTTTATAAGATTGTTCTAATTTAGGAAACAGGAGGTTAAGACGTGTTCTTTTCCTGATTATCAGCATCAGTTTAATTTGTGTCTGGCCATTTCCAAATCAATCGCAGCAGCATCCAAATGAACTCTACGTTCCGTCGAACAACTGTTGCTACTTGGTAGTACGGTGTGTTGGTGGTCTTGGTAACTTGATGTTTCAGTACGCGTCGTTGTATGGCTTGGCGAAGACCAACCGACTGAAACCGATTTTTGAGTGCGAGAACTCAACGCTCGAAGATGTATTTCGTAACCTGAGCATCGCAAGATCGAACCAGTCATCAAAGCCGCTCGTGGAGGTGAACAGCGACCCATGTTGTACGTTCAAACAGTCTCTGACAACATTACTGGAAAATCGCAGTTACCACGTAGCCGGCTTCGTGCAGTCGTGGAAATACTTCTCCCCGTACATGGACGACATAAGGCAGCAGTTCGTGTTTCAACCGGAGGTTGAGCATGAGTGCAACGAGGTATTCGCTTCAGTGAAACGCTGGAGCAACGGCTCTGAGCTAATAGGCATTCACACGAGGCGAAACGACTACACTCAACTGTACTACCGGCGCTTTGGTCACTTTCCGACCGAGCCCGGTTTCTTACGCATGGCGATTGGCTGGTTTAGAAAACGGTTCGGCGCGAAATTCGACCACCGACTGGCCTTCGTCATCGTCGGTCAAGAGTACGACTGGAATGTCGCCAATTCGCCAAAGAACGACAGCGTTATGGTATTGCAACCAAGGTCACCCGGTGTCGATATGTGTGTTCTGTCACGTTTTCCGCATGTAATCTTCTCCAGCGGTACCTTTGGCTGGTGGGCGGCTTTTTTAGCCAATGGCACCGCGGCTCATGGCAAGTTGTGCAGGCCAAACAGCAATCTCTGCGCTATGATTACAATGGAAGACTTCTTGTTGCCCGGCTGGCAGGCTGTTGGGCAGTCGGGATTGCCAGGGCCGCCGCTGAATATTACAGAAACACCTGAAAGTTTAGACAAAACTAAAATATGCTAAAGCTGCGATAACTGTTCATTGTATGGTTTTTTTGATCAATGGAAATTTCGCCGCTGGCGACGTTTCTGAAGCTTAAAGCTTCACAACCACGCGTCTTTACACAAAGAGAAACGACTGATGTTCATACTTTCTGAAATTCATTTTAGTACATTCTAACGACAAGACGGGCGACAGATCCTTTGCTCCTTAACCCAATGTGTCGGCTTCGGAACAGAACACGTC